CCTCCCTCCCCCCCCCCCCCCCCCCCCCCCCCCCGTCACTGACCTGTAACACAACACACCGGCCTGATCCACATTTAGACAGGATAACAACATTCCGGCAACAATCTAGCCACTTCTAGATATATTTTTTTCAAAATTAATTTATTTCCTCTATTCTTGGATGTTTTTTGGAGCTACATCTTGTGTCAGTGCATTTAGACTGAGTAACACGTAACAAGATATGATGCTGATAATTTTTTAAACGATGTAATTATCTTGTAGTGTTATTGATCTGTGCCAAGCAAATTTTATATAAAAAAGAAAGTACTGAAAAAGATACATATAAAAGGATGGTAATATATTTCAGAAATAATACAATGTTCCATTACATTTACTATTGAACTGGAGTCTATGCATTTTTAATTAGTAATATATGTTAAAAAAACAACAATGTGTTAACAATTCTTTAAAGCTGTGAATCTTTTATTTTTTTGTCAATCAAAAGCTATTTGAATGTTACATTTTTTATTGCAAAAACTGGAATAATTCTGAAGTGATTATGCACTTGCCTGGTGCACCGTCTATTTCACAGCTCCTTACGTGTGAAAATATGACATTAATCTTTGTAAAAATTCAGTTTGTCACGTTTCTTTTCCACATCAGAAACTTCATCCCACAACTCAGTCCTGCAGTAGATCAAACAGTCACACCCTAGATACTCCACAGTGGCTACGGCCATCCGATGAAGGCATTTTACGAAGTGCAAGTTCATTTTGAAGTCTTCCCCAACTGGTCCCCTTTCTCGGCTGGGAGGTAACACAGAAATCATTGCCTGGCCTTGATAAGCCAACAAGGAAACAATGAACTCCCTCAAACTCCGCTTTAGGCTTCTAACAGCATGGAAAACAAATGTAACTGCGATTTAAGTTAAAAGAGCCAAGAAACCGGCTTTATTCTGAATGCTGGATTATGTATAATGTGTTTTTTATACACTGTGGCACAATGCCTGCACTGGAAGATTAGATAAGATACATTTTCCTTTATTGGTCAGGATGCAGTCCCTACTTACACTGCTAAAAATGCTATATAGATTTCAATTCTACCCCTTGAAAGAATCTCTAAGTGTCACATAATCACAATAAAGCAAGTACTGGTTATTTTAAAAAGACAACTTCGATGGCACTGAATCGGTTTGCATCGCATTTCAGAACTCTATTGACTGGCGTACTGAAACCGGTTCAGAATCCTATTGACTGGCGTACTGAAACCGGTTCAGAATCCTATTCACTGGCGCACTGAAACCAGACGGGGGAAGATCTCCAAAAGGGAATGTTCCACTTCATCACTGGGCAAGAGCCAAAAAAAACTAATGCTTTTCTAGCCGTCTACAGTCACTGGAGAGAGGAAAAAGTTCAAGAGGCCAATTTAGCTTTAATGTCTTGGGGCGTGCGCGCGCTCGTGTACATGCGCGTTCAGCGATGTCGCCCTGCTCTTCATAGAAGCAGGTGGAGCCGCTGAAGTGATCATGATGATTGAGTGACCATCAGTCTTACGAAAGCGGATGACGGGCAGCCGCATGACTGAGAATC